ATGACTGGAAATGAATGGACTGTGTTTCATTTAAGACCTTGAAATTTCAACTTGTCCCTTTGCAGTTTCGCTTGAATTTTCACATCTACTTTGGGGGAGATGGGGGTCCGCAATGTCTTTTATGCTATTTAAAATAGTTTCTGAGAAAGAAGTACTCTATTTCTTCTTAATTTTTTATTTGGATTCATTCTGAATTCATAAGAGTATATTCGACCTTATTTTTAGCTGTGTGTGTTTTTACGCACTGCATGTTTGCACTGTGGTTGAGAGAAAAGAAATTTCATCTGTGCTGTATGTTGTACATAGAACATATTTGATAATAAAACTGACTTGATTTGACTTGAGTTGACTAACATTGCAATCATGTAGTGGAACCTGGGAATTTGAGCGCCCCTAATTTTTAAAATTTGGAAGCTGTCCATCATTTCACACATGACTGAGACCTCGTCAAATCTTGGAGGATGAAATGATATCTCATGTGACTTCAGAGCAGTGAGCATTTAAATTACTCCACATTTTTGAAGTTAAGACCATTTGTTGTGACTGTTCCTCGTTGTTTTAGTTGCTATGCAGTTGCTGTTGCTCTTTTATGCTTGGTATCTTTATTCTGTCATATAGGCTTGATGCCTCACAGTATATAAACTTGGATTACTCCGTAACACGTCACTACGTCAAGCTTTCTACCAGAGTGTTAGCTCTTCCACGTCTTCTGCATCTAGAACCTGCCCTGCTCTCTGTAGTACTTTGTATTTTCATATATACTTTCACTTTTCAACTTAACTTCTATTCCGTCCACTTCAAAGAAATTCTAAATTCAGGTGATTCTCTTCAGTGCAGCCACTTGACAAAATAAAATTGAATAAATTCAACACTATTTTTCTCAGTATATGCCTCACTGATGATGTCCTGTGTCCATGGCAGCCGACAGATTTGGGTTGGTGTTGAGGATTTAACCTCGCAATGGCTGGCTATGCAGATGGAAAGGATTGACCTGCTGTGACCTTGGAGGAGTGCCCTGCTCAGCGACGATGGCGACCTCGTGATGCAAAACATGCTGCAATGCACCAAAGCGGATCAGTGCCGATGCATGCACACACACACCCAAAAACAAACACACTGCCTGATGCTCACTTATACACATTTAACACATCAAATGCACTGAACAATATGCGACTCAGTACCTGCAATGCTATGGTTAGTTTAGTTTATATATATATATTCATTTTTTCCAATCCACTTATCCTCACGAGGGTCGCGGGGGTGCTGGAGCCTATCCCAGCTGTCTTCGGGTAGTAGGCGTGGGACACCCTCAACCGGTTGCCAGCCAATCGCAGGGCACACAGAGACGAACAACCATCCACGCTCACACTCACACCTAGTGACAAATCAGAGTGTTCAATCAGCCTGCCATGCATGTTTTTGGAACATAGGAGGAAACCGGAGTACCCAGAGAAAACCCACACAGGCACAGGGAGAACATGCAAACTCCACACAGGGAGGCCGGAGTTGAAATCAAACCCTGCACCTCTGCACTGTCAGGCCAACGTGCTCACTGGTCAACCACCGGGCCGCCAAGCTTTATTTCCGCATTTCTAAAAACAAAACAAAGCAATTCCTTCCAATCCTGGTAATTGGTGAGGCCCTTTGCATGTATCTGTGTCCTGTTTGTAAAGATTCAACACTTAAAATCTTGACTCTTTCAATGATTGGACTTATTATTTTTACAGTAACAGAGATGAGCAGCATAGCATATGCAGCTTGCTTGATTCCACCTGAACCCAAAGGATTTGCTCTAGTGTTGAATCTTGAAGTATTTGACATAAATTACATAACAAAGGGATAAGATAAGATAAGATAAGAAAACATTTATTTGTCCCACACTGGGGAAATTTACAATCTACAGCAGCAGAATTGAAGGGAGGTGGGGGGGGGGGGTAGAAAAGAAAAACAAAGTATTGCATGCACAAAATAAATGTTTCAGAAAAAAAAGAACTGTACACAGTACAGAATGCAATGTAAAATATAAAATATAGATATAAGCATATATGCAACTGCATGTATACTGCGAAAGGTGGCTATGCTATTTGCAGTGTATGGATGGGGGGGAGTCCAGGTTTTAATGTGTGTTTATTTAGCAGCCTGACAGCAGTCGGTAGGAGTGAGCAGCGGTATCTCTCCTTCTTGCAGCGCGGGTGTCACAGTCTCTGGCTGAAGGAGCTACCCAGTGCTGTCAGGGTGGGCTGGAGTGGCTGGGAGGGACTGTCCATCATAGCTTTTAGTTTAGCTAGCATCCTCCCGTTGCCCACCTCCTCCAGAGTGTCCAGGGAGCAGCCGAAGCCCTCCTGACCAGTCGCTCCAGTCTCTCTCTGTCCTGGGCTGAGATGCTGGCTGACCAGCGGATAATGCCATAATGGATGGCCGAAGCCACCACAGAGTCATAGAAGGTCTTAAGGAGTGACCCCTGAACCCCAAAAGACCTTAGTTTATTGAATAGGAAGAGGCGGCTCTGTCCCTTCCTGATCAGGGCGTCTGTGTTGGTAGACCAGTCAAGTTTATCTAATATCTTTGTGTTATATTGTTTTATCCAACCATGAACATACAAATGCATGTACATAATGGCAAGGGTTACAAAGGTAAAACTAATTTACTTACTTTCTATGTACTGCTCACTGTGAACCAAGCTTCATTATGTTGAAAAAAAGGCCACATCATCATACACGACAATAGAACAGAAATACCTGCTACACCATTACGGATACACAATGAACACATAGTATATCCTTTAATAGTGGACTCCGCTCAAAAAGCTTTGCCTCGATTTGTTGCTGGGTTTTGTCTCCTTATAAAACCCCAGAAGGCTGCCTCTCAAATAGGCCGCTCGCTTCAAAGAATTGCCCGGTTCTGAATGCAGTTCAGCAAATAAACATCCTCAACTTCTGTTTCAGGAATGTGTTCTATATTAAATTTCAAGAAAAAAAAAGCTAAATAAAGAAATTTGCGATTGCATTACTGCTTTTATATCATATTGTGTTATACGGTATCAGTGTTTCTCATGAGGTGGTGAGTGTACGTACATTGCACCAGATATCCGAGGATACAGATGTTAAGCCCCAATTGTTTGGACAGGATGTAATGGAAGGTGATAGCTGCACAGGAAGGGGAGCTTGCTCTTCCAGTTCCAGTATTTAACGGGAAATCCTGCCTCGTTCGACTCTGTTGTTTCCCACCTGGAAAGATCAAACTGGCTCCAATGATGAGATCATATTTACCGCAAGTTGAGGAATTGCTCAGCACATCAGAAAAGCGAGAATCAACCTTTAAGCCATCACTTTGCCTCTTATATGGATTTCCAGTCGTTTTCTTAAAAATGTCTTTGCGTTCACACTCAGGCACATGAGTTCTCTATACTGGCAGACTGTAAGAATTGCACAAATGCACTTTTAAATACAGAAATCTGTTTATTATATGATATATATCCTATACATTTTGATATATTAGTTCTAATACCTGGAAGTCAAAAATAATGGTCATAATATATTCATATATATTGATATATAGAAAACTAATCCAATAATATACAGTAACTTGGACATTGTTTTCTTGTAAAAAAGAGAGAAAACAAACAAACAAACAAAAAACATCCTAGCTTAAATTTAGGCGCTTTATCTGAGATGTTAATACAAAATGAAATGACACCTGGGCATTGCATTTTATACGACTACAACTTTTTCAGCAGCTATAAGATCATCTTGGTATAAGACACAGAAAAATACGTTGTCTTTGCTAGAATATCAAGATATTTTTTCTTTTAACATGATAGATTTAAAGGTCAGTTGAAAAAGAACAAGAAGGGTATCGTGATGGTCGAGATGGATTTGGCATTGGTAGACTGAACATCGAATGACACACCTTTTAATTTCACACTTTAAAATGAACAAAGTTAAGGGGAGAGGAGAGGGACAGTTGAATCGGAGAGCTTCAAAAGTTAAAGATGAGAGAAAAAAATAAACATGTAGGATGGTGAATGATGTGCTTCTCCACCAATGAGCTATTTTTGTAAACAAATGGAAGGCAACACTCACACACACACAAGCCTGTTCTTCTGAGAACTTGGCATGATTTAGCACATAAAGTTATAGTTTGTAATTATCATCAAAAATTGATAAGGAAGCTAGCATATTTTGGCAGTTGCTTGACAAAGCTTGTTTTGCGGTTGCTGTTTGTTTATTTTCTAATACAAGTCAAACCCAAAGCGTCATCGTGGCTTTCAAATTATTCTAACCACAAATTGAGGTAAAATAAATCATTTCAAAAGAACGTGGCCTGTAGCATGTATTGTACTAGGGCTAGCTTTCTGTTTCTTTTTTTTTTTTTTTTTTAACATGTCAGTGTGGTTGTTTACTAACCACATGGAGGTTCCGCAGGCACAGTGATGTTCAGTTAAGGGGAGAGGAGAGGGACAGTTGAATCGGAGAGCTTCAAAAGTTAAAGATGAGAGAAAAAAATAAACATGTAGGATGGTGAATGATGTGCTTCTCCACCAATGAGCTATTTTTGTAAACAAATGGAAGGCAACACTCACACACACACAAGCCTGTTCTTCTGAGAACTTGGCATGATTTAGCACATAAAGTTATAGTTTGTAATTATCATCAAAAATTGATAAGGAAGCTAGCATATTTTGGCAGTTGCTTGACAAAGCTTGTTTTGCGGTTGCTGTTTGTTTATTTTCTAATACAAGTCAAACCCAAAGCGTCATCGTGGCTTTCAAATTATTCTAACCACAAATTGAGGTAAAATAAATCATTTCAAAAGAACGTGGCCTGTAGCATGTATTGTACTAGGGCTAGCTTTCTGTTTCTTTTTTTTTTTTTTTTTTTAACATGTCAGTGTGGTTGTTTACTAACCACATGGAGGTTCCGCAGGCACAGTGATGTTCATGTTGTGGGAAAATAGTCCGTTTTAAATATCTAGAGTTGAACTTTTTGTACAATTCCCTCCTACATTGTCATTACACACAGCAAATAACATAGCTGTAATCATCCAAATCTCCCCGCATGCATCCATGTATCTCTCTGAATTCTCTCTCGTATCACAATTGGCAAGGAGAGACCACCATTCAAATAAATATATCTGCAGCATTTTTTTTTTATTTTTTATAAACACAACTAATCTCACCCTCCCCAAAGCGCTCAATAGAGTAGTAGAGATGAAAACATGAAGGCAGGTTGTTTTCAGGCGCTGTAGACATGAATGAGGCCATGGATGGACCGCAGACCATCTGGTGCCTTGTACCATGGCGCCACAGAATCTTTGCAGCGATCAAGTCCACGGACGCACAAAGGCTCAACCGCTGTGATCTTTTTCCTTCTGAGGAGCCAGGCTGACGACAGCGAGGTCAAGATGAGGCATCAAAGCTGGACACCAATTGAAGAGGAATGACAGAAAGCTGTATTATTTGACTAACATAGAAAGGAAAAAAATGGATACAGCATTCACATTGTACCAAAGCATTTTCGAAACAGCTTCATGATTTATACATTTGTAGATCATGTATAGGATTCTGTATCATAGCAGTAATGAACTTTTTTTTTTTTTGACAGCACACGATTATACAGGATCATGAGCCCTACAAAAATAAACAAGGTCAACAAAATATTAAAAAACTTCTCGGCATTATACGGTGTAGCCCCGCACCACGGTGAACGACAACCAGAATAATAAACATAACCATACATTAAAACCACTGACAGTGTCAGTCAAAGAACAATATTATTATCTTGTTTATTTCTGTGGCTCTCGTAATGCAGCACGTGAAACAGTCAAACGTCTCCAACCTTTCACACTCTGAGAATTACTTTGACCAAATTAAAGCAGCCAAAAGCTACTTGTTTTTAGTTTGACTGTATATGACCATGATATGCTAACATTTACTTCACCCTGTATTTTACATAGCCGTTCCACTGTGAATGTAAATTATTTTTGTAACCTCATTTGTCATAAAAGGTGATTGGATATCTGATTTGAACAGTTATATAAGCATGACACCATAGATAACGTATATAGTATAGTTATCTCGTACAGGAAGAGATACAGTACTGTATATGCACATGTTCGCCGTCCCTTTTGTAAGCTACTCTGGGATAAGGTTGCCAAAAATAAAACAGAGTCCTAAAGTAATTTCTCCTTGAGGCATTAACACTAGTATAGTATAACCATGTTTTCACTTGGAATAAAAGAGCATATTCATGCATCCCAGTGCATTGCTAAACTGCTCATAGCAATATCCAATATTAGCAGGAATCACACCTGCATGTTATTTCAAGCAACTAGAGCTACTGTATGAAATACATCACCTGTGTGGCATATCATTGAGCAAACACTCCGAACGTTATGGTGCATATAAACTCTTCTTTTACAGCCGTGTAAGCAGCAAGACACCAGGCCACCACCACGAACTCCCCAGTGCCAATGTATGAGAAGTATACCTCTCAATGAGAAGTAATTTTGCAATTGATTTCAAATGTGATCAAAGAAATGTCAATAATGGGGGTTCAAATATTTGGAGAAGCCCTGGCAGTGTAGCGGTGGAGCAGAATGCACATCGCCAAAAGTCTGAGACAAAAGCAACCACCTGAAATGATTCCAAGGTTATTTTTTAAACTGATGCAAACTTCTCAGATCTTGTCAGATCATATCCAAAAATAGACAATATTTTTAAAGATAAGAGAAGAAAATACTTTTATGATAGTATGGCAGCATATTGGTGGTATAAAAAACAAACACTTCACTTTACTTTAAAACATGCCATATCAGGGGATTGATAAGTGATAGGTTAGGAACAATAAAAAAAAAAAAATGTTCTGAATCATTTGACAAAAATTTTTTTGTTTTTTAAATTTTGTCATCGATGGATCCCCGTGTTCCTGCCTGCGTCAACCCTGCGCCAGAGAGCCGAGGGACTGCTCGCAGCTAGCTTGATGGTTTTGCCGGCTCACAAATCAGTCCCCTTTTTTCATTCTTGCGAGCCGAGTACCTGTTATTTTTGCGCAGGATGCAAAGTAAAGCAACATCATCTGCTTGTTAAATTGCATAAAATTAGAGAAAAATGTGTGGCTGTAATAATACGTGGTCATGCGCGGGTGCTTTTCTGAAATAGGAAGGGCCTTTAAGACTTTGCGAGAGGATATGCCTTATTGTCTTCCAGTCATTAAATATTAACACAGCCATCCGACCCTGCCCCCCACTGAGGTCTGATTGAAAATTTCTTGCAAATAGGGATAGGATAAGGTCACCCCAAACTGTGTCCTCCTGCAGTGATTATACGCGGTCAAAACCACGTTAGAGTCCATACATCAGATTACTTGAACGACAACAGCATGAAGATTTTCAGAGATCAGCTCATGATTTGTTCAAAATCTAATTAAAACAAAATATCATCCACTTCGAGTTGGCAGAAAGTACAAAGTACTGCGAGGCCTTTAAATTCAATCTGATAGTTCAGAAGAAAGCAGCTGAAGGAACACCACATAATGACATCGAATTACAGGACCCTTGTGGATAAGAACAGGCAGTGCCCTTCATTTGCCATTCTTCTTCTTATCTGATTAATACAAAGGACATTATCAAGAAGGGGAACAAGGAAGAAAGTTCTCACCTGTCCCATAGCTTGACATTTCTGCAGTTGTTGGTGCAGCAGCCGGCTGATATCAAAGCTGTGATTAAAGAAGACAGCAAAGGGAACAAGAGGGAAGAAGTGACGGAAGAAAAGAAACAGGTTCATGAATGTTTCTTTCACATGGGAGTAACAACTCATTAATCTAATGATTTATATATGACGGGCTTGGAGTGCCATAAAAAAACAAAACTCTCCATAAATAAAACACCAGTTTTCATCAGAGGAACACAGTGCGTGATGGGATATACAATACTTTTGATGTCATAGAACATGGCAAATATAAGAACAACATGAAACCCGATTGAACCAACTGGTGTGTCATTTAAGGGAATACCTTTCCTTCCTGTTTCGACAAGAAGAGATTATACTTTCATGTTGTAGTATCTCTGCTCAAACTGGGAGATGAGTAAAACGTCGTTAGTTCAAAGCAACTGATTCTATCTACCATCACATCAGATATTATGTATTTTGTGCACCAACTGACATGCCAAAATGACAGTTAAAAGGCTTTCGTTTGCAGTGTACCATAATTTCAGGAGCAAATACTAAAGTAGATCCTCAAAAATCGATGAGCATGCACATATGTATACACACACGCACGCACGCGCGCACGCACACACACACACACACACACACGCACACACACACACACGCACGCACACACACACACACACACACACACACACACACACACACACACACACACAAATAGCATCTTAGTTTGAGGTTGCAATCAGATATCCTTTTAGTAATGTATCCATGTGGAACAGGAAGTCTGGGATGTACTTGGCTGCACTCTATGCAAGAAAAATAAGTCAAGGTGTACAGCTAATATAAAGCTGACACATTATTTACTATGGCCTGCCTTCACTGGGCAATTCATATTTGATCATTTTACCGATATCATGGAGCAGAGCTGGGCATTACATTAGTACTGAACAAAGTTCTGTCCATCCGTCATGAACAGACGCCCCATTTTGCTGCCAAATGATGAATGATAAGAAACTGACAGACTATGCGCTGACAGAAATGGGTTTTCGTCGGTCACTGAAATCGTCACTAATCGGGTCAGTGACCTTCTCAGTCCGTCACTGACAGACTACTGTTTCACTGACGACTGATGGAAATATGTACGCTGCATGTGTCTGCTTGAAGCTGGACCTAGTATTATATTTGAGTTGTTGCCATGACTACAGAAATCTAGAATCTTTGTTTTGAGTTAAATCTTTTATGTATATGTATTTATTTGCATATAAACCTTTATGGCGATGGATTCCCGTTAAATCTTGTTGAAATTATTTATTTCGAGAAGATTTTGTGAACAATTTGGTCTGGTTTGCGTCACATATGCCGGATTGGGCGGAAGGATCTGACAGAGGGTGATATTGGGAAAGAGTCCCATTTGTTTGACAATTGTAATCGTAATCGTTTTATTGTCTTCAATTTATTGACTACAGGTACTGGTTTACAAGGCATGCATATTTGGTTTATTTATCAAATGTTTGAGTCAGTGAGATGATTGTAAATATTGATTGTAAATACTCTGGAATATCTTTGTTTTACTTTTCAGTTTAAAAATGGATAAGCAATAAAACAAGCGTGGACATCATTACGAGGCATGCTTCTTTACTGGAGTAGATGCACTGCTTGTACTGCAAATGCGTGGAACATAGTAGGTAGGACGTTGTCACCGACACCGCTGAAGAAGCAGCAGAAGTTTAGTTTTCGACATGTTTAATACTATCGGTATGTTAATACTTTAGGTCAATTCTGATTTTTTTTTTTTACCCAAATATGACATGTATCGGATTTTCCCATTCAATTTCAGTACAATTCCATTTTTTTTCTTGTCTGACCCAGGCCTCTTGTGTATGGGGATATAAATCACATATACAGAATACGTGATGCTACTGCTATTGTTTTATGTTATACGATAATGGCCTCTTTTATACGTTAAGCATGCTGTTGTCACCCGAAAATTACCCTTGGTCTCACTCTGGCCACCGTACTAAATTGTATAACTCTCTGGCTTTGACTCTGAATACAAGTCCAACCTTTAAAAAAAAACAAAACTTTTTTTTCATGGGTTGCCCTTCAGGGAAAAAAAAGTGAAAAAAAAACTCTGACTCTATCTCTCTCTCTCTCTCTCTCTGAATGACAATGGTTTCCTCCCTATGAGTCTTTAATCATGTTTTCAGCACACTTCCTCTCTTTCGTTCACTAACATCTCCCATTAAAGATTCATAGCACTCTTGTGACCGCATACTTTCCTAAAGATTCCTCAAGCCACCATCAATACTGTGGCCGGCACCTTTCCGCCCATCTGTTTATCTTCGCAGGCGTGGAGGAATGAGGGAAGACTGCAATGACAGATATGGAAACTCCTTTAAAGGGTCAGGGGCCTGTGGGTATTTGCCTTTGGAGGTCAGTGTGCTTGAAGGAGGAGTGATTTTAGGATTAGGCAAGGTGGTTTTATTTGCATAGCTTACATCACTGTTCAACGTAACAGAAAAACAATAAATACACTTACAGACTAAGATGAAAATAAATATTTAAATTGATAATGTAAATCTAAAGATGGTTAGAAAGGGGTGAACACTATATGCTTCATTCAAGCAAACACTCAAATGCAGGCAAAATGTACTGTATGTAAAATGGGTGTGCTCTGTTTTAGTATGATGCATAGGTAGGAGTAAGTCGGATACAGTATGTGCAAGTTACTACAAGTCTCAAGTTGTAAACTTCAAGTCTCAAGCAAGTCCAATATCACTATGAGTGGTTGGTGGCGTTGGACATCATGCAGTTCGACCGGCCTGGTAATAGACCGGCAGTTCGGGAAAATCAATGGTCAACACATTATTCAAATGAATGACCCTCAGAGTTGCTTCCATCGCTGTTTGTGTTAGGTCGACTCGCCACTTCACAGCAGCAAGTGACGGTGACTGGGCTGACAATTTGGTGTGAATGAAACTAAAATCGTAGTTTTTTTTCTTTTTTGCTTTTTTCCCTGAAAAAAAATGAAAATTCAGATTTCAAACTACCGTATTGGCCCGAATACAAGATGGCCCTGATTATAAGACGACCCCCTCTTTTTCAAGACTCAAGTTTGACAAAAAAGACTTTTTGAACACCAAATTAATTTTATTGAGAAAATAATTACAGTACATCTGAAACAAATGATTATAACAATATATTTGAGAGAAAAAGCATGTTATTTTGCCTCATTCAAATCTTAATATCCGAACATTTAAATATGTAAACTAAAGTGCAATCACATTCGTAAATGAATGGCTTCTGGATTTTGAAATGTAAATTACATCATAACTTCTCCTCAGCTGCCGGTTAACCTGGCCGATCTTCGACCCACTTTTCTCCAGATTGTTGCTACGTTTCTCCATTTTCTGATATCTCTTCTATTATTTTATTCTCTTTTCTTTCTTACCGCTATTTTTTATTTTTCTTCTTCGTGCTACTGCTATTTTTATTTTTATTCTTCGTGACAGGGGTTCACTTTGGCCTGGGGAGTCAAGTTCAGTATTCGCTTCAATGATATCTGGCGCCATCTAGCGTCGTGAATGGGTATAATGTCTAGACCCGAATATGTCTTATTTCAATGCAATAAAAACCGTCTTATATTCGGGCCAATACGGTAAAAACAAGATGACTTATAGTAAAGCGATCCTTCACCACTTCGTGCTTCAAGTTTTGTGGCTGCAGTGTTTCGTTTTTTTTTTTTTTTTTTTTACAGAAAATCTGATATGTCGGCAGCCAAATTATGGAAAGATACGTTGTTTCAGGTTGACGTGACTCAGAAGCTTTGCACATGTGTATTCTGTACTTTACATGCCCACTCAAACAAAGCACATGATTAGTTCGCAACCCAACAAAAACCAACGACAACACAAGTGGATTTATCCGGTAAATTGACTGACTGCGCACATCGCAGCCTCACTCAGCATTTTGCATTGTCTTACATACTGTATCTTAGAGTTGTTTGTGATAACGTTTTTTTGTTTAAGAGATAACATTTTTTGATTTGTTAAACTGCGTCCCAACCACTTGCCGCTGCCAAAGCAATGCGTCCCCGCTGAGTGGGAGCATGTATGCCCGCTCGTCAGAGATGGCACCATCAACAGGGACACATTGCTTCAACAGCGGAAGCAGGGAGTTGGTTTGCAGCCTTGACCAGGTCAGGGAGCCTTATTTTGAAGGTTTCCCGACCCAGTCAGCTGTTTTTTAGACACGTCACAAGGAAGCAGTGACAACTCAGATGAAGGCTGAAGTGACATCCAAAACTGTCAGCTCAGGAAGAGGTTTTTTTTTTTATATTCACTAAAAAAAGACCACTCTCTGATTTAAAAAAAAAAAGAAACCTGAAACCTATTTCAATTAATATGAAGACAAGATGGACATCATGGCGCTACCATCACCATTTTTATTCTCCAATTTACAAACCTCAGCAACAGCATCAGCGCCTTAAGAGGAAGAGTCTCCGAGTGAACCAAAAGCCTATGAGTCAAGTGAGAGCCGCATTCGACGCCACCAACACAAGCCTCTTCGCGTCACTCAGAGAGCAATGGTGACGGATGTTAATTACTGTGTAAGGTTTTACTCTTAAAGATTTCAGCAAATACGTGTACTGATGTAATCTTTGCCCCAAATATGTAAAGTATAAATAGTGTTTACATACTTTAAACATGCTGATTCCAACATACACGGAAATGGGGGCGGGGGAGCAGGGGGGCAAATCCTACCTCGCAATTTTCATCTTTCGTGTTGGGTTTCTCGTCCCCATTAACCACGAAAAACGAGGGATTACTATAGTTCAAGTCTACGTCAGTTAAATACCAAGTACCAAATCAAGTCAAATCATTCCCAAGTTTTTGGCAAGCAAGACACAATTCCTAAAAATAGCAACTTGAGTCTGACCCGACTCAAGCCATATGACTCGAGTCCTCTATCTCTGGTATGATGCATATTGCAGCATATTGCAATCCCAACACTGACATCAATGCATTTACTGTGTGACGAAAGCTC